AGAATTGTTATCTATGACCTAATATTTTAAATGTGGGCTTGATTAAGAAGTTCATTTACCTATTAAATTTATTGAAGTATTTTCTGTGAAAGAACACATCATGAAATTAATTCACTGATTCCAACAATGCACAATTTAAAATTTGCTAAAATTAAATTGCAGTAGAGTTCCAATAAGCACTATTTAGAAATGATTAAGGTTTTTCTACATTTCAGAGAGAGAACAAGTGAATGCACACACATACTTTTCTAATTAAAACTAATATTGATAAGTAAAGGTAAAGTTTATCCAAAGCAGATAAAAATTTTAATAGTTAAGTATTTTTTAAAATCCCAGATATACAGAAAATAGCTGAAGTAGTCTGTCAAAGTGCTGAATTAACATTTCTAACTGTAGTAGTTGCCAAAATGGGGGTTCTATTAAACAGAATGCATTGACTAACTTGAAGTGCTTGAAAATATTTTTAAAGGTGTTATTTCCCTTTAATTTGCATTATTTACTTGTACTCTCAGAAAGCATTTTGCTGACCAAAAGTAAATTATTGCTCAGATGTTGCTGAGTGCCAAATTAGTAGATTTACAATGTCATAAAATTCAGATTTGGGAAGTTTAAGTTTGTTGTCAGGGGAAAAACTTACAGAGGAATCAGATTTATATCACCTTATTAATTGTAATATCACTATGATGGCTAAACAGATGTTATCACATGCTTGCATAATAGGTAGCGACTTCACCTTTGATGTAGTCTGTCTCAAAATGTTCACCCTGAATTCATCAAACTGGTACATAAAATTCACTGAAGAAAATATCGAGATTAAAGTGCTAGGGTAAATTACATGACAAGGAGGCAACTGCACAAATCCGGAAGCTAGGCATTCTAAGAAACAATTGTTGGTGTCTCTTCAACAAGATACTTCACCAGATTAAAAAAAAAAAAAAGGTTAAGAGACATATTATCCAAGCATAGTATGTGATCCTAAACTGGGTCTAGTATAGATACACCAATGGTGAAATACTTCTGTGGTCACAAATGGAAGTACAGTCTGGTTGTCAGATAAGACCAAAACGTACTGAGACAGAATGATGGAGGTCATGGATTGAACACAGCAAGTTTAGGAGCTGTATATAAATCACAACTTCACCCTGCCCTTCTGGTCCACAACTGAACACAGAGAAAGTCAAGGTGTTAGCAGATCTCAGGAGTAAGAATGGGATCCTTTTGTCTGTAGTAATTTCTAGTTTTTATTCTATTGTACCGCTTCTGTACTAATAAAAGAATATGTTTAAAATAAAATCCTCTGGAAACTGTCTTATGACTGTTTTTTATGGTCTCAATAGATTTATTCGTGATGGTGCATCATATGAAGTTTGTTAGCAAAGAGACAGATATTGGCAAGCACAGACGCTAAGGGGAAACGAGAGGTTTATATATAAGGTCTCAACTTGAAGTCTTTGTCTCTTTGTAAGGCTTTGATTTAATCAAGATACATTGCTGCCTTTCCTGTCGTTTTACTTGCAACCTGCTGTGCCTTAAAGATGTTGACTTTTTTTCTCTAGAGGCATAACAAGTCTTCTCATTATTATTAGATAGTTCAGCACAAAACGTATATTGCAAAATAAACTTAAAAATCAAAAAAGATTCTAGCTAGATACCTTTGCATAATAATCAACCTGTTTTCTTTCACCAGAAAGGGTCAAGCCTAATGGTTTTTAGGATCACCACTATACATGCAAATTGGACTCTTATAACAGAACCAGCCACGTTAGAACGTACATGTTTACTCTGTCTTAAAAGTGAGTCGAGGAACATACAAATTATTTTCAGTAAGAGTAGTCAATTTCAGCTGACTATAACAAACCAGTTTCATGTCATTTCTTTCAAAATTCATATTTAAATTATATTATTGAGGCTAATCTTTTAAAAGTCTGATTTTGAAAAATTGAAAATGGGAGCTGGTGTTGTAGTATGGTGGGTTACACTTGATCTTAGCCAAAAGGCCGAGAGGGGATGGTACAGCTGGCTAAGCCACTGCTTGGCGATGCCAACATCTATCAGAGCACCTCTCTGGGCCCAGTTTCTCTGCTTCTTATCTAGTTCCCTGTTAATGCACCTGCAAAGGCAGTGGAAGATGGTACCGGTGCTTGGGCCTCTGTAACTCCCTTGGATGAAGTTCCAGGCTCCTGGCTTCAGTAGGTCCCAGCCCCAACCACTGCAGCCATTTGGGGAATGAAACAGCAGATGGAAGATCTCTTTCTTTCTCTGTGTCTCCTCTCTATGTCACTCTTTCAAATAAATAAATCTTTATTAAAAATTGAAAATGACTTAGCAGATTTAATTAGATCCAGAAATATAAAATGTTTAAGGCCTACTATTTATTAGTGTAACCTTAACGAAAGTTATCTACCCTAGCTATACCTCAGGGTTTTTGTTGTTGTTGTTGTTAATTATTTATTTTATTCAGCAGGCAGAGAGAGATGTAGACAGAGATCTCCCATGTGCTGATGTACTTCCCAAATGCCTGGAACAGCTGGGGCTGGGCTAGGCCGAAGTCACGAACTGGGAACTCCATCAGATCTCCTATACTGGTAGCAGGAATCCAAGTACCAGTTAGCACCTTCTATTTCCAAGAGTGAGCATCAGCAGGAAGCTGGAACTGCAACAAGGGCTGGATCTCAGAGCCAGGAACTCCAGTGTGTGATGTGGGGGACCTAAGTGGCTTCTTAACTGTTGTGCCAAGCTAAACCAGACTTCTTCCTTTTAACCTACTGCATGCTTACATTGTGATATCTACTGTGAGTCACTGAATCATTTTATAATATCATAACGCTGTTTAGTCCAATCAATACAGAGCAGTAGATGAGAAAAGGCCCAGCATATAACTCTCTGAACCTTCCCTATTTTCACTGCGCTTTTCTTGTGACACTTAACCCTTTTTATCTTGTATCTGCAGGTACTGGCATTTTTGGGCACAGGATTTTTGTCTGCTTTATCTTTGCCATCTCCTACAGTGTTAGCACAATAATTGGGCTCGTCAGAACCTAATTTCTGAAAGAAAGAAGTGAATGATGCAAAGGGTTCAAGTGGGGGACTAATGGTGGCATGCACATACATGTAAGAGTGGGTACATTTCTGAAAAGTTCTAATTGAGCCCAATTACTGCTCTTTCATATCGTATTCTATGAGAGAAAAGTATAGAGACCTAGAGAAATCTATAAAAGTGGTTTATGTGCACTCTATTTTGCCTCAAAATATTTATTGCTTCTATAATCAAGCAATCACTTGTGTAGTCACTTGCTTAGCATCTGTCTTCTCTGTTTTAAATTCCACACAGTAAGGATCCTAGATGGTTTCTTAGAGCCTCAGCATCTGATAATAGTGGGGACTCAAAAAATATACTTAGAATCAATGGATGTAGTTAGAGCTGTACTACTGCATAATTTGGAAGTTACGGCATCTCCTCTCTAATGGAGTACACTAGGCACTTACAGCCTGGAAGAACCTGACAATTTGGTTTTCACTGGTGCTATGGGTCAAGTAGAATTTGCCTCCCAGGGGCTGGCACTGTGACATAACTGGTAAAGCCACCACCTATAGCACTGGCATCCCATATGGGCACCATTTAAGTCCTAGCTGCTTCTGATCCAGCTCCCTGCTAATGTGCCTGGGAAAGCAGTAGAAGATGGTCCAAGTCCTTGGGCCCCTGAACCCTCATGAGAGACCTGGAAGAAGCTCCTGGATCCTGACTTTGGATAGCTCAGCTCCTGCAGGTGCAGCCATTTGGAGAGTGAACCAACAGATGGGAGACTTCTCTCTGTCTGCCTCTGCCTTGCTGTAACTCTGCCTTTCAAATAAATAAATGATTTTTTTCATCTATTATTTTTCACTTTATGTTTCTGTGTGGGAGCAAACTATTAAGATAATCGAAAATGAATCTTGATGTGAATGGAAGGGGAGAGGGAGTGGGAAAGGGGAGGGTTGTGGGTGGGAGGGACGGTATGGGGGGGAAGCCATTGTAATCCATAAGTAGTACTTTGGAAATTTATATTCATTAAATAAAAGTTAAAAAAAATCCTAAAAAAATGATTTTTTAAAAATTTTGCTTCCCCAAAGCTCATGCAGCTATTCAAACTGTGATGTCTTGGCCTGGTGTTGTGGCGTAGCAGGTAAAGCCACTGCCTGAGATGCCAGCATCCGATATGGAGGCTGGTTGGTATCGTGGCTGCTTCACTTCTAACCCAGAGCCCTAAAGGCCTGGGGAGAGCAGTGGAAGATGGCTTAAGTACCTGGACCCCTGCCTCCCACCTGAGAGACCTAGAAGAAGCTCCAGGTTCCTGGCTCCTGGCTTGGCCCGGCCCTGGCCTCTGTGGTCATCTGGGGAGTGAACCAGCAGTGGAAGTCCTCTACATGTGTCTCTCCCCCTCTCTCTGTAACTCTTTCAAATAAATAAATAAAACTTTAAAACAATCATAAGCTGTGATGTTTTAAAGTAAATGGTTGGTTGAGTAGGGATGGAGACTTGGATGGCCTCTGAGAAGTGTGGTGGGTGGGCGGTGAGGGCGTGCCCTGGGAGGGTAGCTTTCACAGGAGCTTTGATTTATTTACGTTCACACTTGGCCTGGGTTCTCTCCCTCTCCTGCTCTCTCTGCTTCCTGCTTTCCCATGTGATCTTTGCACCCACCTTGAGCAACAACGACCAGAAGCTGGACTATGGAGCTGCCTGTATTTCGGCTTTCAACAATAAGCCGAAATAAGCCTTTGCCTTCCAGATACTTCTCTCAGGCATTTTAGTTAAAGGCAAACACTTTTCCACAAGCATTTTACCATAACTGATGGTGTTCTGGCATCATGTAGAGTTTAACTGGAAGTATTTTTTCCTTTCTGAGTATTATGTAAACTAACACTAAAAAATGATGGTGTGATGGTGTTTTCCAACCGGTGAAACAGTTATTGTTAATCCCACGTGTATGTTGAAATTAAAAATTAAAACTTCAAGTACTTACATCAATCAAATCTGAAAGATCATGAATATAATACTTGAAAACTGAGGCATTGGTGGCTTCAAGTGTTAGGAGATATTCATTCCGTGCCTTAATCGATTTCAGCTTATTTTCTGAATACTTTGCTTGTCTCTGAAAAATGAACAAGAGCCAAGCATTGGGAAAGAAAGCAAAGTCACTTTTTTTAAACAAGACAGAGAAGCATACATGCAATTTTATTAATTGAAACAATTTATTCCACAAACACAAATGACTCTCAAAGTCCCTTGTGAAAAGTGCATTTTGAATATGACTTAAATAACAAACTACAATTAACCAGCAGTGGGGAATAAAAACAGTGTATTTGGGCTTTGGGCCCATTTGCCATGGAATCTCTTTGTTAACATTCACGTTCTCCACATTGTGTACTGGATACTTGGCGTTCACCACCAAATGATGTCCAGCTCTTATTACACGATTTTTATGTGTCTTAAACACTTCCCATTCCCGTGGGAGGACGTGCGTGCCGTTTCACAGTAATTTACAATGTATGTCTATCAGCTATTGCATCAGTGTGCTCTGCACTGATTGCCTCCTCCGATGAGGACAGTGGGGGCACTGCAGTAGATTTTTCCGTACCTTTTCTTTCATTTTTTCAATTTTCTTTACAGAGCTTCGTCGCTGATGTCGCTCTTCCAGTCGAATATGGAAGACTGGATCACCCGATCTCCCAATTTGCTTCTCCTCCTGTTTCTCTGCCTCTTTCAGCTTGCTCTCTGCACTGATGCTCTCTGCGTGATACATGTGGTACGTTTTCATCACCTGTGGAAAGTGATCCCAGTTGTTAAAAGATGCCTGTCTGGGGCCAGCGCTGTGGCTCACTTGGTTAGTCCTCCTCCTGCGGCACCGGCATCCTATATGGATGCCGGGTTCTAGTCCTGGCTGCTCCTCTTCCAGTCCAGCTCTCTGCTGTGGCCCGGGAAGGCAGTGGAGGATGGCTCAAGTGCTTGGGCCCTGCACCTGCATGGGAGACCAGGAAGAAGCACCTGGCTCCTGGCATCAGATTGGCACAGCTCTGGCCGTAGCAGCCATTTGGGGGGTGAACCAACGGAAGGAAGACCATTCTCTCTGTCTCTCTCCCTCACTGTCTAACTCTATCTGTCAAATAAATAAAAAAAAATTATAAAAGAAAAAGATGCATGCCGGCGCCGCAGCTCAAGTAGGCTAATCCTCCGCCTTGCGCTGCTGGCACACCGGGTTCTAGTCCCGGTCGGGGCAACGGATTCTGTCCCGGTTGCCCCTCTTCTAGGCCAGCTCTCTGCTGTGGCCCAGAGTGCAGTGGAGGATGGCCCAGGTGCTTGGGCCCTGCACCCCATGGGAGACCAGGAGAAGCACCTGGCTCCTGCCTTCAGATCAGCGCGGTGTGCCGGCCGCGGCAGCCATTGGAGGGTGAACCAACGGCAAAGGAAGACCTTTCTCTCTGTCTCTCTCTCTCACTGTCCACTCTGCCTGTGGTAAATGATGTATAAGACAATATTAAAATACTATAAATAGAAAGAAAAGAAAGAAAAGAAAAGAAAAAGATGCCTGTCTGTGTCAGGAAATTAGGAAATTAGAGCATGAATAGGAACCATTATACGACGTGCGTGTTAAAATATCACCTTCCAACTGGCAGAGGGGAAAGCCAGACTGTCAGTAACATAGGTGAATTATGACTACTGGTTCTCCATAAGCAAACAAAAATATGCAAGTCCATCTGCTAGGAAGAGGCATGTATGGCACAGGCTTTGATGAAAAACTCATTGACAGAGTCTTATGCATACTTTTCAAATATGTGTAAAATTCTCTTAAGCTTAAAAGTGTTTCTCCAAGAATCTGCACTCCAAGGTTAATATCCAGAATAAGCCAGCCATTCATAGATATACTTTAGCCCAATCAAAGCCCTGAATTAGTAGTCCTTACTAGAGTAATGCTACTGCAAAAAATCTACTTGTCAAAATACAAAACGTAAGTATTAAGGTTCAAATATAGGTCTAGTAATAGATTTATCTGATTAAAAAGTAATACTGTATGTTCCATGCAGAAAGCATGACACCACACACATTAAAATAAAGCAAATAAAAAGCAAACGTAAACACTAGTAAGATCTTGGTGTGAAGTTTTGCCGTCTTTTCCATGAGAATACATACATACACATGTCTTCATTTCAAAATTTCTATGTATTTTTTCTTTTTAAAAATAGAGATCATACTGTATTCATAATTTTAAAGCCCCTTTTCACTTAACAAATGCAAACATTTTCCTCTACCATGACATATTCTTCTTCTTCTTCTTTTTTTTTTTTTTTGACAGGCAGAGTGGACAGTGAGAGAGAGAGAGACAGAGAGAAAGGTCTTCCTTTGCCGTTGGTTCACCCTCCAATGGCCGCTGCGGCCAGCGTGCTGTGGCCGGCACACAGCGCTGATCTGAAGGCAGGAGCCAGGTGCTTCTCCTGGTCTCCCATGGGGTGCAGGGCCCAAGCACCTGGGCCATCCTCTACTGCCCTCCTGGGCCACAGCAGAGAGCTGGACTGGAAGAGGAGCAACAGGGACAGAATCCGGCACTCCGACGGGGACTAGAACCTGGTGTGCCGGTGCCGCAGGCAGAGGATTAGCCTATTGAGCCGCGGCGCTGGCCGACATATTCTTCTAAACTATAACTTTAAGTACTGTATAGTGTTTCTTTATACGATTATGCTATATCTTAACTAATTCCGTATTTTTGAACATTTTTGGATAAATAAACCTGCACTGAAAACCCTAGGTATGTACACTATCTTAGTGCTTCTCTTGGAAATGATATATGTAGGGGCTGGCATTGAGAAATGGCAGGTAAAGCCACCACCTGTGATGCCAACAACACATATGGGTGCTGGTTGCTCCATCTCTGATCCAACTCTCTGCTAATGGTCTGGGGAATATGGAAGACCTGGAAGAAGCTCCTAGCTTCAGCCTAACATACCCCTGGCCACTGTGACCATATGAGGTGAGAACCAGCAGAAGGAAGACCTCTCTCTCATTCTCTGTCTTTCCCTCTCTTTCTCTCTGTATCTCTTCCACATAAATAATCTTTAAAAATGCTACAAATAATATACATTTTAATAAAATTTAAGAATCTATAGAACCTAGAAATTTTATGATGTATTATTTCCATGTATATTGTAAATCAATGAATCCTCAAGCACCAAAAATTTTGGTTATCTTATTGTTACAGAAATGTTTATACACAAAATTGTGTAATATTTCCTAGCTTAGACTTCCAAAAGTAGAATTGAAGGGTTACAGACTATGCCCAATTTTGAGGCTTTGAAGTATACTGACAATTGTATAGTCTGAATTAAAAATAAAACAGAACTGATCTGCAGAGTTATCTCTCAAAGTACAGGTTGAGCATCCCTCATCTGAAAATACAAAATCCAGAAAGTTCCAAAATCGGAAAAAAAAAATTCAGAAATCTGAAACTCTTTCAGTTTCACGCATTTCAAATAAAGGATATTCAACCTGTGCATTAGAAAACTTTATGTGCTTCATAATTGTGGCCTCAAGTAATTAATATGTACATTAGCTATTCTTATAATTTCTATAATCTCTGTTTATAGTTTCTATACTGTTAGACACCAACTCATAAAAATAACAGATTTTCAGATATTTTACCTGAAAATCAGTTTTACAATATAATTTCAATGTGTTCTTAACATGCAGTCTCAGACATGGGGCAAATTCTGAATCCTATGTATTTTAGCACAGTTATACTAAATCACACACATAAGGTATAATACTCCAATGCAAGTGATGTGTCAAGGAACGTACCAGAATGCAGCACTCAGGGCTATGCATTAGTGGCGGCATTTTCTCATAAATTATGGCAGGTTCCCAAACACAGAACATATATTTTATTTCGTTTGCAAATAACCAGAAATTATTCAAGAGCTAATTGTATCACTAAGATACAGTTATTAAGAAGCCGAGATGAGTGTAATGTTTTGAAGTAATGAACTTGATCTTTCTCATTTCAAAAGATGAGTTTAAAAATAGTTTGAGTCTTGGAAGCATCACTAGAAGAAACATATTACATTGAGCCAAATGACACCGCTGTTTGTGTAAGTTAACAACAAGACAGAAAATCAGCACTGTGCAACACTTTAAGAGGACTATTTTGAAGAGTAAAACCTGGGGTTAATGAAGAGCCTTTATTTATATTTTCATGAAATCTCATATTGTTTCTTAAAAATATAAGCTGGCAAACGATGTCAAAGGCAATACTGAACAGGAACAAAACCCTGCAAAGCAGTGGCAGCTTTTCCAGAGCTGTGTGCCACTGGAAATGTGTGTGTTTTTAGTAATTAGCAAACCCATCGGGGGAGGTGTGGTCGGCTACTCCAGTTTCAAAGAAAAATAAAATAGTATTGGGAAGCAGCTGGGCGCTGGGGAGCGAGAAGGGAGTCACCCTGGGCAGCTGGGCAAACAGTGGGGTCAGCAAATCCACTACACACCTTGCATTTCTAGGCTTGGCTTTGTTTATCTTCCCTGCCTGAAGCAAACCCACATACCATTTAGGTACTGGTTCCAGTTACCTCCTCAAAAGAGAGGGTGAAAAAAACCAAACACACACCACACACACACACACACACACACACAGTGAGAGAGCGAGTGAGCTGTGTAGCTGTCTGTTCTCCTTGCCAACAGACAGGAAGGAAGAGGCAAGAACATGTGACTTCCATCACACTGGGATGAAAAGGCATCCCACACAGTCCTGGGCATCCAGGAAACATTTCTTTTAAATACATCAGAAAGAAAAGACCTGACCCAATGCACTTTACATAGGTACTAAGGACTAGTAATAGCAGGTAATTTGCACAAACTATGAGGAGTACATGGAGCTGACTGCCAGCATGGCATTTCTTACTAACTGGGTTCAAAGGAAAGCATTTCAGTTTTACCTAAGAGTAGCAGGAAAAGAGTGTAAACATCTCATTAGACAGTGGTTGAGCACAATAGCTGAGGATTCTCGACTTCAATGGTACCTTCCAGAAGTTGCTTTGTTCAGTTTTCCAGTCTGACTGAGAGATTCTACTATTCTCTAAAATGTTAACAGATACAATGAATGGATTTTAAGAGTTGGGGAGAAAAACACTAAAAGCTTTTTGAGAGCTCTAATTGCCGATAATGAATGCAAGCACAAACTGTGTTATTTAAAATGTGAGCTGTTGACAGAAGTGAAGTGTGTTTTGTATTTAACGCTTCTTTCAGAGAAGAGAAAAAAAGCTTTTTATTTTTCAAAGGTGTATTTAAAAAAAGCATTTATTAAAAGGCAGAATGTGTGTGTGTATGAAAGAGAGAGAGAGAGAGAGAGAGAGAGAAGAAAGAAGAGAGGAGAGAGGAGGGAGGAGAGAGGGAGGATGGAGGTAGGGAGGGAGGGAGAGAGAGAGAGAGAGATCCATCTTCCATCTGCTGGTTCACTCCCCAAATGGTGGCAATGGCCAGGGCTGGGCCAAGCTGCCTGGGGCCAGGAACTCTATCCAGATCTCCTACATGGGTAGCAGAGGCCCTAAAACTTGGGCCAATCTCTACTCTCTTCCCAAGAGCATTATAAGGGAGCTGGATTGGAAGTGGAGCAGCAGGGACTCAAATATGGGATGCTGATCTTGCTGGTAGCAGCTACACCTGGTACACCACAACACCAGCGCCTCCAAGGTGCATTCTGAATAGGAACTACAAAAAACAAACAACAACAACAACAACAAAAAACCTAACTTCTCTATCAGTTTAATGCAAACACCAGTC